GCCCTCAGCTACATCACCAACCTGGTCTCAAAATATCAACCAAACGACTCTCTTTGATCCTCCAAAGACCTTCTGCTCTCTAGTTCCCATGTCGCCTCCTCCCATGCTCACCTCCAGGAGTTCTGCCGAGCTTCTCTCATCCTATGGAACTCTCTACCCCAATCTGTCTAGCTATTTCTTAATCTATCTACCTTTAGACAATCCCTGAAAACCTCTCTCTTTAAAGAAATCTATCTTGCTTCTAAGTAGTAAACTGCCTTTTATTTCCTCCATCAGCTCATCCCCCACAGCTATTACTTTTGTTTCACTCAACCAATCCTCTTAGATTGAAAGCTGTAACGAGAAGGGCCCTCTGTTTCTACTAGTATTTTGTAACGCGCTGCGCAAACTGTTGGCGCTATATAAATTATCTATAATATTAATAAGTGCCCAATCAAAGGGAAAGACAATTTAAAAAAAAAAACGTAGTGTTGCTTGCACATGATTGGATGATGGAAGTCAGCAGAGCTTCACCTTATTCACTAAGAGATAATTCCTTTGAAAAGTTACAGTTCCCTTAAAAGTAAACAGTCTATTTGCCTTTAGCAAATTGGCCCCATTGAGCTATAAGTATGCAGATCAGGGAAGCCAGAACTCCTTATCGGCATATTTATTCTGTATTTGTAACTGAGGAGGTCCTGAAATTATTGGAACGGCATAACAGCCAGGGGAATACTATTTTTTGTAAGGATTGATTAGCAAAGGCACCCTCTTTACACCGCCCAATACAGTTTTTTTTGTTTAACTTTGTGTTAAATACTGTAACGAATAGTCAATTCTATCAAAACAGTTACTCAGCAATTATATTTTGTCAGGACTTTTAAAGCAATGCTGTCAAATGCTGTCAAAAATCTACTTGAAAGTGTACCTAAACCCACAACAGTAAAATCAGTCTGTATTTGCAGTAAAGCATGCTTGTTATATTCACTGTGGAACCTAAGGGGTTAATCCTCTGCATTGTGCAAAAATGCCATTTGATCCTGACTTCTCTGATCCTCCCCTTCTTCCAGTGCCTCCCTCTTATCTCCTGATAAGAAATATTGTGTGGAGTTACTCTCCACATACTCAGTTTGGTGTGTATTGCTAGAGAGGTTTCTTTTTTTTCTTAGGAGAGTGTATGTGATCAGCACAGGGCCAATCAGTACTGTCCAGACAGAGGTTTAGGGGTCCTGCATCTTCCTAGAGCAGAATGAAAACTCCTCTAAGTTTTAACATGTGTTCAGCTGGCCACTGATAGAAGTCACAAGACTGCTCTAACTGCTGGTGTGAAAAGGTATTTAGCAGTTTATATTTACTAAAATAATTGCACTTCCATGTTCTGTGTACTGTGGGAGACCAGATATAGTGAATGCAGGCACCTGGGTTTAGTAACACTTGAAAGAAGAGCTCTTAAGTTCACTTTCCCAGAGGCCTATATTCTCTGCCTTCTCTCTGTTTCTGCAGTGATGCACTCTCATTCAATCTTTTAGGTATTCAATATTTTCAGGAGGAATTACATCCTTCAACCTCTACATCACTACAGAACTCAGCAGCGGCCTATGGATTGGAGGATGAAATCACAGAATGGAGTGGGGGACAAAGCTAACTGACTCTCCCAAAAGTGTTGAAAGACAAAAGAGTCCTATGGAAGTTGCAGGATGGGAATGGAGAGAAAATACAAGACTTGGGCCACTAAAGAGGTTAGTGTAGGAACTCTACTACTACAGGAGTCTTTCAGCTTGATGTTTAAAATAGGGTGTTTTAGTCTTGAAATTGGCATTATATTGTTTTTCCTTATAGTTGATATTAGAAAACCAAACAACTTGATGCAAATACAAGACCATCATCTTTAATAACTGAAATAAATTGGTATTAACAGGTTTTCACATTCTATATGTTATACTTAGGAGCTGAAAGAGTATTAAACTTTTCTATGAATTACAATGGTTCATTGATTATCATACATGCTTGGCAGACTTAGTCCTGTGGTTGGAATTGTATTACATAAGTTAAGAGTTACCTTTCGCAGGCACAAACTGTTTGACACAGCTAATAGTCTGGAATGCTCTCAATGAAGATGTTAGCAATTTTACATGGACTTCTGTCAGACAACTACTCCAAATTAGGGCTAAGAATTCAAACGATGGCTTTACTGCATAAACTGTCTTCATATATGAAATCAACCCCAAAATGTAATCACATATGAAACATTTTGCAGTTGCCATTTAGTTAAAACATTGAAATAACATTTAAATTTTATCAAATGTAAATAACTGAGGACTGTTTATAACCATTTTAAAAGCCTATTATTCTTGTGATAATTACACTGTTTTTATTTTTTGCCAGTTTTGGAAACAAAAGGATCCATTTCTTAATGAATTTCACATTCTGAGATCAAATATAACAATGAAATTTGTCAATTGGCTCTAGTTTTTCTGTAAAAAGTTTTCTACTATAGGCGTAATGACTACATAATGCACAATAATTATATAGATAGATGTCTTTCCACAAATATAAAGCAAGTGATATTGACTACATAACAAAGCCTAAATGGCATAATATATTGCATAGGATTACCAAGAAAAATTATAGCCATAAGCTAAGTTGAATCATTTTAATAGTTAGGATTCTCACTAGTTTTGTCTTCAGTTTGCGTCAGTTTTGCTTCTCTTGGCTTTTCTCTTGTATTCGAGGAAAGGGCTATCTCTTACAACTGCACGTGACTACACGCTTCAGGTTCTTCCTCACTTGACTCAACCACGAAGAATTCTGGTGCTTTAGGAATTGGTAGCCCCTCTCCATGAGGAACTGGACGTATTACCGATGGAATATTTGGATAGTGCACAGATAACTTTTTTCTTCTTATTTAGCCCTTTTACAATTGGAGGCACCATACAAAAGTAACAATTACTAACATGATCTGTTGGCTCTCTCCAAATCATTGGCACAGCGAAAGGCATAGATGCCTTTTTTCTATTCAACCATTGCTCCAGTGCCGTCGCACAAGAATTGAAGCATATATGTGGTGCCCAGCTCTTGTCCTGGTCTCCTATCTTGCAGCCAAAATACAAGTTGTAGGCTTTCTTAATCATTCCTGTTATCCTCCTTTTTTGTGAGATAAAAGTTATTTCACCGCAGATATAGCAGAAATTATCTGCTTTATTCACACAAGTTCGAGGCATTACTGAGTAGCCTATATAAGCATAAAACGAAATGTAAAGACGCTGTCGAACTACAATCAGCTACAGATACTGCAGCTTTTATGCAGTGAAGTGATGCAATTAAAGGCTAATATTGCATCATCTCAGTATACATGCAATTTTCTATTGGTCACCAGTATCAATTGCGCAATATGCAGCTGAAGTTGCATCATAATTTTGAATGGCTTACGTCATTAGATGGGTGAATATATCATGGAAACTAGAGCCAATCAACATTTTTTAGGGTCATTTTCGTTTTCAGCACCCCAAAATTATGTAAGATTAGCTAATTTTATGCCCAAAACTTTTTACCTGTTGAACAGTGTTATTATTATTTATTTATTTCAGGTAATTATATAGCACCGTCCATTTACGCAGCGCTTTACACATATATATTGTACATTCACATCAGTCCCTAACCCTCAAGGGGTGAGTACAATCTAAGGTCCCTAACTCACATTCATACTTACACATACTAGGGCCAATGTAGACAGGAGCCAATTAACCTACCAGCATGTCTTTGGAGTGTTATTATTATTATACATGATTTCTATAGTGCCAACAGTTTACGTAGCGCTTTACAACATAAGGGCAGACAGTGCACTTACAATACAACTAAATACAGGAGGATTCAGAAGGCCCTGCTCCTTAGAGCTTACAAAGAGGGTCACAATATACAAAAGGTAATAACTGTGGGGGATGGGCCAATGGGCAAAATACATGTACAGTTGTTAGGTGGGGGCAGGCAGAGATGAGTTTTCAGGGATCGTCTAAAAGTGGATTTGATAATGTTGATTTGATTTTCATTCAGTGGTGATAAATAAGTTATCCTAAACAAACACCTAGTACTTGGTAAATGTACACCAGGGTGCAAGCAATAAATTGTATCAGCAACATGAATGCTGCACAACTAGATGTAAAATAATATTTTATCTGTTATCATATTTTGTCTTTCAAACTGTTATTAATATTGTTGTATTTTTGTTCCTATGTCGAATACTTTTTACGCCGCTCAAAGAAAGATTAGGCTCTACACTCCACACTCACATCTGAGGTGTTTGCTCATGTTGTCTCCATTGAGATTGAAAATCTTTGAGAGTGCATAAGAATGTCAGAACAGAATCTGTTCCTGCTGGCTATTTTAATAAAGGAAGAATATTCATTTGCATCCCGATTGTAGGCATTCCTGTTGCTGGTACAATTGATTACATCAATGGAGACAACATGAGCAAACACCTGAGATGTGATTGTGGAGTATAGAGCCTAATCTCTCTTTGAGCGGCATATTATATATTCCACATAGGAACAAAAATACAACATTAAGAATAAAAGTTTGAAAGACAATAAAATATGATAACAGATATAATAAAACATATAAACAGTACTGTATATAAGCTGGGCTTAAAATTTCAAGTCCTGAGCTACTAGCCAGGCCTTAGAGTTACTCGCCACCAACAAACACACACAAACAGAGACACCTGTACACACACACAGACATGTACATACATACATCCACAGAAATATGTACACACACGCACAGACATGTACATACATACATACACAGAAATATGTACACACACGCACAGAGACACATGTATACACACACACATACAGCCACATGTATACACACACAAGCACGTACAGACATGCATACACACAGATATATGTACATACACAGAAATACACATGCACAGACACATGTACATACACACAGACACATATACATACATACACAGACACATGTACATACACACAGAGACACATGTAAACACAGACACATGTACGTACATACACACACACATGTACATGCACACAGATACATGTACACACACAGACACATGTACACACACACATACATGTACATACACGCAGAAACATGTACAGATACATACATGTACAGACACATGTACAATTGTACATGCATACACAGACACACACACAAACACACACCCACACATGTACACATACACCCCCCCCCCCAAAAAAAAGTTGCAGTACTTCATTGTTCACTCACAGATCCGGGTACTGCACTCTAGTAGGTGGCAGAGGGCACAGCACCCACTTTCACTGAGCTCAACTATTGAGCAGTCTGACGGCTCCCAGTGCCAATGACAGATCTGGCCTGAGCTCCGAGCCTGCTCAGCAAGACAGCCCTGGGGGACACACTTGCCCCCATCATAATTTCCACTCGCCATTGGCCAGCAGGTGAGTGGAAATTTCAAGCCCTGTACTATGGGGCCTATTTATAAATGAGTAGAGCACCCCCCAAAAAAGCCGCTGGTGATTACTGATCCTTTTCCTCAAGACTAGTGCTCATGCAGCCAGGCACATAGCATTTTCTCCATTCCGCTGGCTCAAACAGATCAGTCTAGAGGTGTCTTTTCATGCCTTATTGCAGACATAAAGTTGGATGGGGTGAAGGGAGCATGGGATACCCCAGAATATGCTGAAATAACATCTTTCAGGACTCTTCTCTTCACACTGATCTGCACAAAAAAGCTCTCCAGACCCAAAAAAGCCCCCCCAAACTAGACTTTGTGAATGGGCCCCGTAGCTTAAGCTCCTGCTGGGACCTAAATGACTCCTGATCAGCGCCTTCAGCAGCCTGCCCTCAGGGGTGCAGCCCTCAGACAGGGGTTTTCTCTTACCAGAACTGGACTCAGGATCCACACTCCACACACACACACACACATGTCCCAGGTCTCAAACTATTTATGGGCTCTTCAGCCACAAACTAGACACACCTCCCCAGGGATTGGCTGCATCTCTATTCTTCCTCCCACTATGATTCTAGAATCCTCTACAATGCAGGGGGACGTAATCAGATCAGCAGCCTGCGAGACACTGAACAGACCAGATAAATCAACCCTTGTTCCACTGACTACAGACAAACTAAACTAAAAATTTCCTAGCAACCTACACACGCTAGGAGGAGATGCTACCGATGTTTTCACCCAAGATTCATAAAATATTCATCTAAAATTCACACAAGATTCTAATTTCACTAAAATTCAAGAATACTGGGTAAATGTGTGACTCTTGGGAACAAACGTTTATAAACAGACCCCTATGAGTGACAAAATTCTACTTTGTATATCTGTCCTCCTTTTATTTATTAAAAACATCTATAAAATATGCCAACATGGTTCAGAGGTCTAAGAATACTTCCTTTCTCAGAGCTAAGAAGTCTTTGTTAACCTGCCCAGCGCTTTTAGCTGTTGTCTTCTATATAGAGGGCACCAACCACAGGACTGCTTTAAAGGCTCACCAAACTGATCACACACGGGGATATTTACTAAAACTGGTGCACTCAGAATTTGGTGCAGCTGTGCATTGTAGCCAATCAGCTTCTAAATTCAGCTTTTTTAATTAAGCTTTGCCAAAACAAAATGGAAGCTGACTGGTTTCTATATAGAGCTGTACCAGATTTTGCACTCCCAAATGGTATTTTAAACAAGTGCCACTTTCAGCTAGCTATTCTGTGCAACTGGAGATCACTTCAGAAACTCTATAAATCCCCAAAGAAAAGTAAAACTTTCACCCTTGAAAGTGCAAATATCATAAACCTTTTCTATAACCTTCCCTTACCCTCAAATCCTACCCCGCAATCTCAATACTATCAAAATGTCCATAATAAAGTCCAAAATCAAAAATTACAAAAATCCCAAAAAAATAGTCCACACTCTCCAATCTTCCAACTGTGAAAATGTCCGATTCTTCACTCCAATCCAAAATACCTCAAAAAAATAAACTAAATATAGTGCATTATCTTTCACACTATAATATATGTGATATCATGCAAAAACACTAGTGATGTAAAATATAATAAATTAGAATCAACACATAAAGTGAAAATCCACACAACTCCACTAGTGATCTTGTGAAATAACCACTTCAATATGTGAAATGCCACAAATACAAAATTAGTGATCAGTGAAAAATTGTGCAAGATCAAATAGGTGCCACCACTCTGCGTTTAGGATAATATACTATTACCCTCTTTCAGCTTGCACAGGCGTTGTATAAATCCCCATATGCCAGATGGTTTTCCTCTAATGGGAGTATGCAGATAGTTTCCCTCTTATGGGAGTAAACAGTGGAATCCCCCGTTCCTCATACAGCAATGGGCATTGGGATCCCCGTTCCTCACAGGGCAGAGAAGAGCAAACTCAGTAGAGTAATATGTATAAAAACACAAATTTATTCACCGCTTACATTCGCCGTCCTATGCTGAGACCATATCCAAAATGTCCGCGCTGCTCCTTCCGGTTTTGCGTCTGACGTCACGACCTGACGCGTTTCGTCACTTCCGACTTTTTCACAAGGGATCCCCTTATTATAGTATATAATATATTATATTGTGAAAGATAATGCACTATATTTAGTTTAATGTTTTTAGGTATTTTGGATTGGAGTGAAGAATCGGACATTTTTACAGTTGGAAGATTGGAGAGTGTAGACTAGTTTTTTTGGATTTTTGTAATTTTGGATTTTGGACTTTATTATGGACATTTTGATAGTATTGAAATTGCGTGGTAGGATTTGAGTGTAAGGGAAGTTTATAGAAAAGGTTTATGATATCAGGAGTACATAGATGCTAAAAAAGTTACATACTGTATTTTATGTAAAATGCAATTGTTGTGTAAAATACAATACGCAGTGCTTTAGCAAATGAATTATGATTTATTTAGGGTTTACAGTCAGTTTAAAATGTACATGTCAATTTAGATGTATCTCTGGATCTACTGATCCTTTCTCACAGTTTTCACAGTGGTTAATTTTTTTTCCAGGTTGGCAACAGATTCACTTTAAGCAATGTTTTATGTACTTTCCTCGGTTATTCAATTCTCATTCATTGCACAGTATAAACCCACCAATAATTTTCTCCCTGAGCTAACTGACTGCTTGAATACATGAAATTGGCTTAAAAGACCGAATTGGCTTCATTATTATGTCATTGTTTCACTAATATGTAATTTTTCAGCTGATTGCTAATTATTCACTGATGACTTCAATTTTTTGGTAAATTAACTAGAATACTTTTTTCATTCTAAGACATCTGAAAGTGATTTGCTATAGTGCCAACCAGCAGTGATGTGCTTATTATCTTGGGTACATGTCACTTTCCATTATATCTTTGCTGTCCTCTAATTCTATTTTAATGGTTAAAGAGGGAAACATTTTAAATTGTCACCAGCAAATATATTCAACATTTGATAAACACTGATAATAAGTTAAAACATGACTGTATTTGTACACTCTCCTGTCTGTACATTATGGCTGATGGAAAATCAATTACACTTGCTTCAAATAATTATACCATTATTTCCATACTTTTTGCCTTACAATTTTACAAATGATTTTACATACTCACAATGTATCAAAATAATCTGTAACAAAATCAAAAGCCATCAAAAATCACCAAAAAAACATTTTGAAATATTGAGGCCAAATAAGCATTATAAGCAAAACAAATAGGAAGATGAAGATCAGCCAATATTAATGTTAAATATCTTGTCATTTTTGCAATATTTGAGCAGACTACCACATTACATAGTTAGTCAGGTTGAAAAAAGACACAAGTCCATCTAGTTCAACCAAGAGGAAAAAAAACAAATAAAAAACCTACATATACACAATCATATACCCATAGATGGTCCAGAGGAAGGCAAAAAAAAAAAAAACAATAAAGCATGATCCAATTAGCTCCAGCGTGGAAAAACATTCCTTCCTGATCCTCCAAGAGGCAATCAGATAGCCCCTGGATCAACTATCCCTGGTGTTATTACCTAAAATGTTAGTATTCACTTATATTCTGTACATTTAGGAATCTAACCAGATCTTTTTTCAAAACAATCTACTAAGCAGGCCAAAACAAATTTTTGGCTCTATTTCACATTTTCACAGCTCTTATTGTCAAAAAGCCTTTCCATGTGTGGAAGTTAAAACTCTTTTCCCTCAGATGTGAAGAGTGCCCCTTTGCCCTTTATAATGACCTGAAAGTGGATAACTCAGCACCAAGTTCCCTATATAGATTATGTTTTTATACATGTTGATCATATCCCCCTTAATCACCCCTTCTCAAGAGAGAATGGATTCCAGTTCAGCCAATCTTTCCTCATAGCTGATCTCCTCCATGCCTCTTATCAGTTTGTTTGTTCTTCTCTGCACTCTTCTTCAGTTCACTGATATTATTTCTGTGAACAGGTAATGATTTGTACAGGGACAGAAATACAGTGGGGATCGAAAGTTTGGGCACCCCAGCTAAAAATTTGTATTAATGTGCATAAAGAAGCCAAAGAAAGATGGAAAAATCTCCAAAAGGCATCACATTACAGATTAGACATTCTTATAATATGTCAACAAAAGTTAGATTTTATTTCCATCATTTACACTTTCAGAATAACAGAAAACAAAAAAATGGCGTCTGCAAAAGTTTGGGCACCCTGCAGAATTTATAACATGCACTGCCCCCTTTGCAAAGCTGAGACCTGCCAGTGTCATGGATTGTTCTCAATCATTGTCTGGGAAGACCAGGTTATGTCAATCTCAAAGGTTTTAAATGCCCAGACTCATCTGACCTTGCCCCAACAATCAGCACCATGGGTTCTTCTAAGCAGTTGTCTAGAAAACTGAAACTGAAAATAGTTGACCCTCACAAAGCTGGAGAAGACTATAAGAAGATAGCAACGCGTTTTCAGATGTCAATATCCTCTGTTCGGAATGTAATTAAGAAATGGCAGTCATCAGGAACAGTGGAAGTTAAAGCAAGATCTGGAAGACCAAGAAAAATATCAGACAGAACAGCTCGCAGGATTGTGAGAAAAACAATTCAAAACCCACGTTTGAATGCACGATCCCTCCAGAAAGATCTGGCAGACACTGGAGTTGTGGTACACTATTCAACTATAGAGAGATACTTGTACAAATATGGTCTTCATTGAAGAGTCATCATAAGAAAACCTCTTCAACGTCCTCACCACAAAAATCATTGTTTGAACTTTGCAAATGAACATATAGACAAGCCTGATGCATTTTGGAAACAAGTTCTGAGGACCTATGAAGGTTAAAATTGAACTATTTGGCCGCAATGAGCAAAGGTACGTTTGGAGAAGAAGGGGCACAGAATTTAATGAAAAGAACCTCTGTCCAACTGTTAAGCATGGGGTTGGATCAATCATGCTTTGGGGTTGTGTTGCAGCCAGTGGCACAGGGAACATCTCACGAGTAGAAGGAAAAATTGATTCAATAAAATTTCAGTAAATTTTGGATGGTAACTTGATGCCATCTGTGAAAAAGCTGAAGTTAAAGAGAGGATGGCTTCTACAAATGGATAATGATCCTAAACACACCTCGAAATCCACGGGGGATTACATCAAGAGGCGTAAACTGAAGGTTTTGCCATGGCCTTCACAATCTCCTGACCTCAACATAATTGAAAATCTATGGATAGACCTTAAAAGAGCAGTGCGTGACAGACAACCCAGAAATCTCAAAGAACTGGAAGACTTTTGTAAGGAAGAATGGGCAACGATACCTCAAACAAGAATTGAAAGACTCTCGGCTGGCTACAAAAAGCACTTACAAGCTGTGATACTTGCCAAAGGGGGCAGTACAAGATATTAACTCTGCAGGGTGCCCAAACTTTTGCAGACGCCATTTTTTTGTTTTCTGTTATTTTGAAAGTGTAAATGATGGAAATAAAATCTAACTTTTGTTGACATATTATAAGAATGTCTAATCTGTAATTTGATGCCTTTTGGAGATTTTTCCATCTTTCCTTGGCTTCTTTATGCACATTAATACAAATTTTTAGCTGGGGTACCCAAACTTTCGATCCCCACTGTATGTCTCTCTGTCTGGAGTTTATACCTCTTTTATAACAAGAAAGATTTTGCTAGCTTTAGAAGCTGCAGCTTAGCATTACATGCTATTATTATAGCAGAACTTCACCCTAAAAGGGAAGTTTCACTTTATGTCCTTCCACCACTCTCCTCTAACACTTTTGGATGTTGTATTTTTTGGGGGGGTAGAGGGTATCTAGGCAATTCCACTAGAAGTTTGGTCCCTCCCTCCCTGCCCACAGCCTTCTGGGACATGTCATAGGTCTCAGCATTTGCAGGACCATTCACACAGCACAGTGTGACTCATGCATGCGCAGTGGGTAGCTGGCTTTAAAGCCACAAATGAATTCCAGCCTGATTCCCACACTAAACATGCCAGCACCAGGGACCTGAAGACAAGTGAAGAATCAGCCAGTGTGAGGATGGCTCTGGATCTTTGGACAGGTATTTGTCCTTTTATCAAAAGTCAGCAGCTACAGTATTTGTAGCTACTGACTTAGATTTTTTTTCAAAAAAGCTGATTATCCTCTTTAAGTCTATGATCTGTCAGAACACCCAGATTCTTCTCAAACAATGACGCTCCTATGCTCCTGGAATTAAAGTGCTTGCATGCTTTTTGCCCCCAAGTGCCTAACTTTACAATTATCAACATTATACCTCACTGGCCACATACTGCAAATGCCCAATTAAATAGTGAGTATGAATAATTAATCACTACTCTCTGAATATGGTTTTTAGCCTGTTTTGTATCCATTTGCAAAATTAATTTTCTAAGTCTGTAGTCTTTAACTTAAACATGAACCATGTGTGGGGTGCTGTGTCAAAGGCTTTTGCAAATCCAGGTATGCTATGTTAACAGCCCTTCCCTTGCTTTGTCTCCTTTTTTGCTTACTTCCTTATAGAAAGATATGATTTTGTTTAACCACTTCAGTCTTTCAAGTATCTTGCCAACTATAGAAGCTGAACTAACCTGTCAGTAGTTATTTGGTAAAGATTTTGATCGTTTTTTAAAATACAGTATAGGCACCTCATTGGCCTTATTCCAATCCAGTGGCACTAAACCTGTCATCAAAGAGTTGCCAAAAATTAGAAACAAGGGCTTTGAAATAAGAGAGCTCAACTCTTTGACTGTAAGCCAGCTGGTCCAGGTACATTCATCACCTTTATTTTGTCTAAATGTTTCTCTACCAGATCAGTGTTGAGGCATTGTGGCTCATTTGAGACTATATCAATACTATCCACATTATAGATTTGAGCTTCCTCATTTTCATCACCATCTCAACATTATTTTGTAAAGGACCTACATGCTTAGACCTGATAATTTTTATTACTAGTATACTAATTGTTTTTTTTTTTTTGGGGGGGGGGGGGGGTTGTCCTACTCTCTTTTCCTACCTATTGCTCATTTTGAGTTTTTGAGGTCCTGATTTCCTTTTTACATAGTCTGTTATATTATTTGTAACTGTTAAATTATGTAAGTGTTCCTTCATTGTAATATTTTTAATACTCTTTCCTTATTATTTAGACATTTTTTGTAATTGTATTTTTATTATATTTCACAAAAAATAGAGTTACATCCAGCATGGAACACACAAAACAGCAGAAATAAATAATCAATGGTTTGAATTTAGCAATATTCGTTAGCAACTTAACCACCTTCCGCCCGCCATATAGTACAATGACAGGCAAAGGTGGTTCTCTCATTCTGATAGGACGTCATATGCCCATCAGTGCCACATCAATGCCACATATCAGTGCCCATCTGAGCTGCCTTTCAATGTCACCCATCAGTGCCAGTCAGTGCCTCCTATCAATGCCAATCAGTGCCACCTATCAGTGCTGCCAATCAGTGCCACCTATCAGTGCCAGTCAGTGTCGCCTATCAGTACCAGTCAGTGCCGCCTATCAGTGCCAGTCAGTGCCACCTAACAGTGCCAGTCAGTGCTACCTAACAGTGCCCGTCAGTGCCGCCTATCAGTGCCAGTCAGTGCTGCCTATCAGTGCTGCCTATCAGTGCCATACATCAGTGTCATGTATCAGTGCTGCCTTTCAGTGCCCATCAGTGATGCCGGTCAATGCCTATCAGTGCAACCTACCAGTGCCTCCTCATCAGTGCCCATCAGTGCCACCTATCAGTGTCCATCAGTGCAGCCTCATTAGCGCGCATCAGTGAAGGAGAAAAATCACTTATTTACAATATTGTATAACAAAAACTAAGAAAAAACTTTTTTTTTCAAAATTTTCAGTGGTTTTTGGTTTGTTTAAGAAAAAATTAAAATCCCAGAGGTGATTAAATACCACCAAAAGAAAGCTCTATCTGTCTCAAAAAAATGCTAAATATTTCATATGGGTACAGTGTTGCATGACCACGCAATTGTCATTCAAAGTGTGACAGTGCTGAAAGCTGGAAATTGGCCTGGGCAGGAATGGGGGGGGGTATAAGTGCCCTGTAGGCTAGTGGTTAAAGAGGATTCACAAGTGTATTTACAATTGTCAAGAGGTGTAAAACGTGCTTGGACAGCATGCAAAATAAGCTGAAATATGTCCAGATCAACCCGCAAGGTGCTGGATTGAACATGAACAACATTACAATTATCCAAAATATATGGAAGAAAAAATAAAAGGTAAAAGAAAAGGTATATTGAAAAACACACTAGATTCAACTGTATGAAGCCGGATCGTACAAGGGTAGGTCAGGGAAGGGGGTGGTGTAGGGGGGGGGGGGGAGAGGGGGGGGTGGGGGGGCGTGGTGGTAAGGGAAAAGTGGAGGAGGTCGGAAAGTTGCAGGGGGGGGGGGGGGTTTGGCTTCCCCGAAGAAAAGGGGTTTTCAGGGTGCGCCTTTAAGGGAGGAGAGTAGGTTGGGGTTCCCCGGGGGATGGGTTGAAACCCCGGGGAAGTCCTGGAGGCGGGATTTCGAGGAGGAGACCAGGGAAATAGAGAGAAAGGGGGTCTTGGGGAGGGAAGGGGGGGTGTGGTGCTGGGGGGTTTAATTGGTATTAGGTCTTTTATGTTGGGGTTTGGGGGGTTTGGGGAGGCTTTGTAATTTTGTGTTAGGGCGGGGGCGTGGGGGGGGAGGGGGATGGGAAGCGGGGAGGGGGGTGGGGGGAGGGGGCGGGGGGGGGGGGAGGAGGGGTTTTGGGAAAAGGTTTAATTTAGTTTTGACCGCCCTATTTTAGGATTTGGAACTGGGGGGGGGGGTAGCCCCGCGGCCCAGGCAGGCCAGTGAGGAGGGAGTTGCAGTTGTTTGAGTTTGTGATAGATGGGGGGAGGTGGGGTAAAACCTTTAGTGTTTTTGGGGTTAGGAAATGCGGTTTATTTTGGGGGTGTTTCGGGGGGTGGAGTCTGCTTTAGTTAGTTAAAGAAATTGGGGCTTGGGGCTGGAAGGATTACGTTTTGGGGTCCAGGAAAGGGCACCAAGTACTTTTGGGCCCGCGGGGGTGGTTTGGGTTTGGGGGCGTTGTTGGGGTGGATGGAGAAGTCAATGGGGGGTGGTTTTCCGGGCTGGGGGGAAAAACAAAAAAACTCAGTTTTTGGGGAGGTTCGTTTAAAAGGGAAATGGAAACGGGCCCTCCGTCTGGGATTTTGGGGTCGCTCAAATAGGTGTTGTTTGGCAGAAAACCAAGGGGGGGAGGTGGGGGGTTGGGAGGGTAGATTTGTGTTTTGTCGGCCCTAGAGGTTGGGAAATTTAAACCCTGAGAGTTTTTTGAGTTGGCCCAAAGGGGGGAGGTGTTGGTGGGAAGAGAAGGGGCCCGAGGACAAAAGGGCCCTTTAGAGGGGGGTGAGGGGGAGGTGGGTAGCATTATAGGGAACGCTTTTAAAGAGGGGTTGTGGAAAAGGTTGGTTTAGAGCCCGGATGAGAGCAGGGAATTTTCTGAGGCGGGGGGAGTGTTGTTTTTTTTAGGAAGGAAAAAGGGGGGTTTGGTTTGACTTGTTCAAAGGCCCCAGAGAGGTCAAAAGGAGTAGGGCACTTTTAATTGGGGGCCATTTGCTTTTGGGGGTTTGCAGGTGTTGGGAGTTTGAAATAAAGGGGGTTTCGGGGGGAGTGTAGGGGGGTGGAAGCCGGGGCTTTAGGGGGTTTTGAGGAGGTTTTTTTTTCGTTTAGGTTTAGAAAAATTGGCGGGTGTAGACAAAGGGGCTCGAGGGT